ATATCCTAAATGGACAACCTCTAGGTCCCCAGACTGCAGAAGGAATAATTACGCTCCTCTATAAAAAAAAGTGACAAATCTGATGTAAGAAATCACCGCCCGATATCCCTCCTCAACGTCCATGGGAAGATACTAGCTAAAACTCTAGCTCGTCGCATTAATCCTCCATTGACTAAACTAGTACACCCGGATCAGTCAGGTTTCGTCCCAGGGAGACAAGTACTTGATAATGTAATGACCATATCCCAATCCATAGATTGGATCAAGCAACACAACCTAAACAAAATTGTCATCCTAATAGACTTCCAGAAAGCTTATGACAGGGTTAATTGGACTTTTGTCCAAGCCACTCTTGAAAGAGTGGGTGTACGTTCCAACTTCAGGAACTTTGTCAAAGCACTATACAGTGCCTCCTCAGGTAGAATCCTCGTCACTGGTCACCCCTCCTCTTCCTTCAAGATAACACGATCCTTACGACATGGCTGCCCACTAGTCCCAACCCTGTTTATCGTCCAATTGGAAGTATTCCTCAACATGGTGAGAAATCACCCCAATTTTGTTAGCCTATGCATATCCCCCGTTGTATCCATCAAGGTATCGGCATTAGTTGATGACTTTTCCGCAATTTCTGAAAATTCACCAAGTTACGTCTCAGCCTTGGAAGACTGTCTCTCTGCATACGAAACCGCCTCAGAAATGAGGGTGAGCTGGCAAAAGTCACCCCTCAAGGTCAGCCCTTGGCTCTGGATCTGGGAATCCCCGTGAAGCACAACATAGACGTCGAAAGGTACCTGGGGATCCAAGTGTCCTTCGAAGACCCCTCTCCAGTGGAAGATTCTATCATAGGGAACAGAATTAGAGATGCATGCGCCACCTGGTCCACAACCCGATTTCTTTCACTAATGGGTAGAGCTATGGTAATTAACACCTTCATTTCCTCTAAAATCTGATATATTCTTTCAATCCGCACAATAAGTTCCACTTCAGCCACTAACATCAGGCGTTTCCTAACCCGCCTTTTGTGGAAAAGGGACTCAGAAGCCCAATCAGTACTTAGCAAGGTCAGTTGGAAGATGATCACAGAAAAGAAGAAAGCATGGAAACTCGGGATAAAAAACCCAGTAACCCAAAACTGCGCCCTCTTAGCAAAGTGGCCTGTAAGGGCACTCTGCACCGCTGAGAAACAACCATGGATAAACATTACTAAGTACTTTCTCACTAAGGATTGGTAATTGTCCGACCCAGAAGTTGTCTGGCATGCATTACTAATGCATCCCTTTATATCGCGACCGGTAGGCAGAACCTGGCACGGTATTCTAAAGGCGTGGGGAAAAATGTTCCCCCAAATCCTGGAGGAACCGGTAACAAGAATAGAAGTACTCAATACCTGTCTATTTGAGAACACCGCTATCCGCAACAATTATGGACTCCCCTCCTCGGTCTCCAAAGCGCCTGGTAACTTCGGTATGAAGTGGATGCAGAGAGGGATCTGGCTAATTCATCATATCTGGGACAGCGAACATGGTCGGTGGAAGACAGCAACTGATCTCAAACATCTCCTATCGGGTCTGCATCGAACTGAGGATCATCTCAAAGAACTCATGGCAGCAGTTCCTTCAAGCTGGCTTTTCATACTTACAGATACAACCAGGGGTTACAAGGAGAATTAGTGGTTCAAACACCCTACTTCATCACACCTCTTCTTCAGAATCGACAAAGTAAGTGCAGATGGGACTGCGGAAGCATCCGAGTGGTCCATGGAGGGGACCAGACTGCTACAATCCGGAGAAACTCAGTCAATATCCCTAGAAGAGTTCGAGGGAGTGCGGATTCGTCAGAAGAGTAACGCAGAGGAGGGAACACCTGTCCAGTTCATCATGGAGGCAGTCCCCATAAAGGACTGGAAAGTAGACATTTGCAAATACGGTTGGAATGTGACTGGCCCAAATAATGCAACGACCAAGATACCTCTCTCAGAATACTCAGCCAAGATGGGATATTTCCCCTCAAACCCTCAAAAGCTACAGGTAAGTCTCTTCGTTGGCTGGCAACGCAGAGTATCGTCCCTCAAACTCAAACCGCTTCTCCCCAACTGGACCTTATTCTATATTCATCTTATCCTCTCATCCATCGAATCCAAAGTGGGTGGCCTACAGTGGCTTCACTTCCACTCATGCGTCCCTACTGCGATGTGGTGTTCTGAGAAAGGTTTGGACATACCTACTCACTGCGAAGCCTGCTCCCATCCTTCCTTAGAAGACTGGCTCCATCTGTGGTGGGAATGCGTCATTGCCAGAGGTTTTTGGGACGAGTTGAACTCATGGTGGTACAAGGCCTACACAGTACCGGACTTCTGGAACCAAGACTATGTTGTTACTGGCAGACTCAACCCTCGTTTCCACAAGCATCAACTGGGTGAAGTAGCTCAACACTTCAGGGAACGAGCTTTCTGGAATCTTTGGTTAGCAAGGAGGGACAAGCGTTTTCTGAAGGAACATGCCTCCCTTCCCTCTTTACTGACACAACTTAAGCAGTCCATCCGGTTAGATATCACAGCAGATTGGCACAATATTAGAAAGAGTTCAGCCTCAACGGACTTGGCAAGGCATGCCTTCCGTCACAAATGGTCCTTGCATTACAAATGGGCGGTTTTATCTGATGACAACAGACTGTGCTATATTGACCTCCTGTGGAACCATCCCAGTAGTAACCCATGATCTACATCTATCTGATATGTCTCCTTTCCCATCCCCTCAGAACTCATCTATACTGATGGTACCTTTAAACGTGAGGACCTAACTCCCTACTGCTAGACTGAAGCTTCCCTTACGAACCGCAGCTTAGACAAGGTTTTTAGATTCTTTGTGGCAACGTTTCCTTATTTTTGCTGTACATTCTTTTGTTACTCTCGGGTAGACTGTGAGGACCCCGACCTCATCTATTTCAAATTGGGACGCTGGACCCGCTTTCCAACAAGTGATGCTCCCCACAAATAGAAGGAGCAAATTCTGTCAAAAAAAAAAAAAAACTCCAAAGAGTTTCGACAGGTGTCAGAAAAAAAATTATTTACCCAAGAGCCTAGCTCAGTGGGTACACCCGTGAACTGTTGAAATACAGACTTGTGTTCGAATCGCGATGATGGACCTTGACGAGTAAAACCGAGTACTAATGAATTGCTTGGGGCCGGTCAGCTCAATGATCATATCTCAAGACCGTCACCCCTTTTTATATAATATATATATATATATATATATATATATATATATATATATATATATATATATATATATATATAGGGCAGTTCTGTTTGTGTCGATATATATATATATATATATATATATATATATATATATATATATATATATATATTTACCGGGCAGTTCTGTTTGTGAAGATATATATATATATATATATATATATATATATATATATATATATATATATATGTTTTCAGTCTCTCAATTTCACCTCACACTACGAACCTACCACTACTCCTAATTGTAGGCATAGCAGCCAGAACCTTGTTCACAAGAGAACATGCGGGGGCTGCTCGCATGCCGGGTAGGGGACAGGCCGTAGCATTAGGGACCATGCCAACAGGACCAATCCCTGTGCCTCCCCTCAGGTCCCCTCCCCTACCAACATCAGCAGACTCTGCTCAATGCAGATCGGGGGATCCAATGGTCTATCTTTAGGTGGGGGGCGCCAAGCAGCCCAGGAAGGCACATGAGGCCAATGGGGACCTTCTCCACACATGGTAGAAGGTAGGATAGCTATGGTGAAATTAGGTCACGCATAAGCTCAAGCCGCATGAACAGCGCAGGTGCCAAGAGAGCCCCTGACTTCGCGTGCCGGTCCTTCCCCCCGCCCACCAGGCGTTCCACTCTTGGGAGTTTCGGCAGCCCGTGTGGCGAGCCTCGCCCGACCACTCATCAAGCAGGTAAAAGCCAAAATACTCTTGCGGATGTATCTTTCCACGGTATAGTATAAGATACGTCCTCCAGTTTAGGCATCTGGGGCGAGGCCCATAGGGTCTGGCCTCGCTACACACCAAATACGTGACATGGCGGGAGATTCCATTGCTATTTTGTTTGTCCTTTTCCTTTCCCATTAGGCTACCTGTGCAGCGAGGGCATACGGCCTACCGTCTTCCCCCGAACGCAACGCACCCTCATTTTGGCTGTATCGGGCGCGAAATATAACTTGTGTACATTCATTTTAAGGGTGCGTTATGTTCGGGGGAAGACGGTAGTTGCAACACTCACCATCCATCCCAAAAACAAAAAAAACAAAAAAAAAAAAACAAAACACTCGCCATCCATCAAGAGTTCGAATGCATCTGCCCATCGGATGTTTCCCGATGCATTCAAAATGTCGGCGCACTGGGCCCGAAATCCATAGCGCGCGCAGGGCCTCGCCACACCACTCTCGAATTGTGAACAAGACAAAAATGTGGCGAGTGCATCTGGCCATATTCTAGCATGAAATTCTTTCTCATTTTGCACATTGCGAGAGTGGTGTGGCGATTCCCGTAGGTGGCAACGCGGAAACACTGCGGGGACGCGCTTCGCATGTCGCGGATTCCACGCGGGCGCGGTCATCGTTGTGCTTTTTTCTTTCTTTTCTTTCGGGCTTTGCCCAAATTGTTTATTATTTCTTGCGACCGTCGATTGCAAACATAGACGGCTAGGATTGGAAACAACGGGTAAACTGAGCCTCGACCCTCAAGCAGCTGCTGCTGCAAGGATGGCGCTTTTTTATTTTTTATTTATTATTTATTTTTTGAGGATGGCGCGCTTTGCGCTGAGTATACCAGTGGCTCGGAATTTGCGTTAGCGGCTCGGAAGCCCCGCCACAGATTCGGGGCTGGCGGAAGGAAGGAGGGGCTGGCGGCAGGAAGGCGGGGGATCGAGCGGCTGAAAGTTGACCCCTCGCGAAAAGAGAGAGAGAGAGAGAACGTTTTGACCCTAAGCCGGCCACCAGCACGGGAGACAGGATGGCGACGAAAGAGAGTCCTACATTTTGACAAGTCTTTTCTCATCCAGCCCGCCTCCGTCGTCCGACAGGGGAGGGGGGATGGTGAGGAGGAGGAGGACTGAGGGCATACCGGCGCGTCCTCTGGGCGGTGTTTGAAGGTGAAGGGAAAAAATGCACCACCTCTTTTCACGAACTAGCGACAGTGTGCAGTTTGAGCATAGTGTACATACTCCATAACGTTTTTTTTTGTGTTGTGGTCGTTGAGTCGTCGACTGCAACACAGCGTATTTTCCCGCCGGAGTGACAGACTCAGCAGAGTTGCTTCGTCTTCTTCATAGGCGAGCCCGCAAGAACACGTATTTCTTTATCTCCGCTGCCATTGCACGGCGGGAGTCGTCCCGAAAAATACCCGAGAGATGCTGCTGATTTCGTGAAGTTTGCAGTACGGTAAGCGAGACCCCTGCTTTGCGAGTCGCTTAATACCCCCGCCTTTTCTTCCCACCCGCTACCCTCTTTCCCTTGTCCATTTGTTGCTTCAACGCCTCTTCATGTCGATGTGGAAAAACTGCACTGCAGGCTTCCTTCTCTTCGTCTGAAAGTTCGTCTTCTCCTTTGCAAATCTTAGTACCCTACTCATCCTACTGTGCTTTTTTGCATCCCGTTTTCCCCTTGTGTCTGTCTCGCTGTTCATCTCTCTTCCTCCTTCTTGCTTTACCACCTTACTCCTTTTTTTCCGCCCTCTCTTTCCTCCTCCTTTTGATTGCTTGCCCTATCATCCAGTTTCCTTCGCCTACTTCTCCACTTTTGCACTTTTGCACTTTTGCATTTCTGCACTTTTGCACTTTTGCACTTCTGCACTTTTGCACTTTTGCACTTTTGCACGGTGTCCTTATCTGCGTGGCGCGTTCCACTTTTTTTTTTTTTTTTTTTTTTTTTTTTTTTTTTTTTTTTTTTTTTCTGATCTCGTGCTTTTGTGTCTAACCCTTTTCTCTTTCTTCCCTCTCTTTCCATTTCTCTACTTGTTCGACCTTATCTTCCTGTGTCCTTCTCACCCTGTGCGCAGTCGCCTCATCCCTATTTCCATCTCGTATTTTTATATGTTGCCATCTCTCCGTTTGTCAAGCGCATTTTTTGTTCGTCTAGGCCGGAGCAGTTATATGAAGTCTGATAATTTTTTACTGACCGTATGTATGTAGCAAAGTTTGCGCCGCGCTCTGGAACTTAACTACTCGTACTTTCGCCATCCTTCCATCATTTTGCGGCGGCCTCAGCTTCTCCTAAGATTGTTCAGGTTCCCTCGTTGGATTCCTTTTCGTCTGCGTCCTTTCTTTTTTGTTCACGCGCCGTTCCTCTCTTTCTCTCTCTCTCTCTCTCTCTCTTCTTTCTTATTTCCGGTTGCTATCCTTCCGCGCTGGCATGTCTCTCCAACGCGATGGCTTATCAGTTTGCGGAGATGGCGTGGTTATCACGAAAGGCGACAGTCATGCGGAAGGTTGTGATTTGTAGCCATCTGATATTCGACCACGCATGGCCGTAGATGTGTTTGATCAATCGCATACACCGAAGATATATGGAGGACAGGTTCGCATCGCTGCGTCAGCCGAATGCCGCTGTCATGCATCGAATACTACGCACCCTCGTCCATGTTTGTATCTGACCGGAGTAACAGTTCGTATGCATTCATTATTAGGGTGCGGTGTATTTGGGGGAATGCGCAGAAAGGTAAAACGAATTGACGCCACTGCAAGGTCATAGGGCCTCGCTGCACCATCACCAGATGTGCAAAACGAGAATGTATTTCTCCCTAGAACGTGGAAAAGTACACCCGACCTATGGTCTTTTTCGTATTTGGTGAGTAGTGCGGCGAGACTTATGCTCCCAAATTGTGTTCACCGGAGGACGGCACCCTGATTACGGCCGTGCCGAAGCGGAAAGATAGCTTGTATGCATTTTCGGGGTGCGTTATGTTCGGGGGATTCAGGGTGCATTATGTTCGGGGGAAGACGGTAGTCGTCTGCCTCAAAAAGGCGGAACTGAGGGCATATCATATCCTCACACTACCACCTTTTTATTACTTATTTCTTGACTTAATTGCGGCCAGATGCATAAAGTAAGGCCGTAAATGAGGTCAGGTGCATTTATGATTGTGCTAGTGCGAGGACGCCCTGAGTGCGGCGAGGCCCGTACTCCTTAAAGTGGGAATTGCGTGGCTTATCCACGTTATCACGATTGCATTTTGTTATCCTGAAGAGTTTCTCGATCTCTGCGCTCTCGATTGAAGTTTGAGTAATTACCGTCTTCACCCGAAGACCACGTACCCTCATAATGGGTGTATACATGCATGTTTCCGGTCCGACACAGTTATGATAAGGGTACGTCGTGTTCGGGGAAAAACGGTAATTATACTTCATTTGTGATTGTTGGGGTGTAATTAGTACTGATTTCCGGTTGTTGTGGGCGCATATACTTGACACAGTTATGACAATACGGTAAGTAGATGCGGTTTTGTACAATGATCCCTGTCCCCGGCCCCCCCCCCCCCCGGCTTTTTGCTGAACTGGAGGGCGGCCAATACCACCCGGCGGCGGGGTAATAAGAGCGACCCTGGGTAGTAGGCCCCCATAATGTGCAGGCTCCATCCTATAGGGAGGAGCATCATCTGCAGAAAAGCGGGTCCAGCGTCGCGTCTCTGATA